CCAGTAACGGAATCCCGGGCCTTCTGGACTTCATTCCAAGCCCTCTTTAGCATCTCATTTTCTTTCTCCTTCCATTCTAGGAAGGCGTTCAGCCGAAGGAAGAGTTGCGTACAAGATAAAGTGAGTTAGCAAAACAATAAAGGAAATACTCTAAGTGTGAAAGACTAAAGGGTTGTAAAATGTTACCTCGGCGCTGCAATTAATCATAGGGCTGAGAAAGCCCTCATGAATCCCTCGCAACTTATCTCTTTGCTTGGCGGGGACGGCTCTAGCCATGGCTTCCCGCATGGCCTTCCTGTCTGCGCCACTTAGGGACTGGCGGGCAGCTTCATGTTAAGCTCCTCCGCAATATCTACACACGACCACAAAAGGGTTTTAAATTGTGCAATAAGACTTGTATTAAAAACGAGATTGTGCAAGGTTATTTAAACTAACTGTGCGAGAAGCTCGGAGGAGAAAGAGTGTTGAAGGTGAATGGAGGAGGCGGCATAGGTTCGTCGCTCTCCTCACCTGTGCGGCTGGGTTGATTACCAACCGACCGAGAGACCTCAAGCCAATCAGATTTTCCAACTCTCTTGACATGCGGAGTCGAGATGAGGCCGGACGGGTTTGACGGGGTCGACTTATCCCCGTTGTCCGTTTTCACGGACTCATCATGGATTGGCTTAGCGGCCGGATCCGTGAACTTGGAGACCCCGCTATCACCCAGCCGGGGTGGCTCTCCTTTAGACTGCTTAGAAGCAACCTCCTCGTCCTCTTGGCAAGGGGCAGTTCCAAATTCAGAGGACAGCACTCTGTCCAAATCTGCTGCCTCGGCCGAGCTTCGGCTCCTGGAGACATGGCCGCCCCAGCTAAAGGAAATTCTTCGGGCACTAAGGGACCTTTACCCTTATCCTTGGCAGTGGCCGCTCGATTATCCGAAGAAGGGCCACTGCGAGGAGGCAAGTCGGACGGTTCATTAATGGAGTCTGTCCGACCTGCTATGTTGGAGATAGGATGGTTACTGAGGCGGGAGGACCAGCAGTGGCCGCCCGTGAGGGAAGGAGGCCTCTCACGAGATAGCAACTCGGTCGATTGTATGGCCGAGTTAGCATGTTGTGAGGACCTAAGTTCTTGGGTTAGCCCCAGCAAAAGAGACTCCCTGTGCACGTTGGCGCTCTTTAAAAGAAGAAGTTACTTCCACGTCCGAGCAATGAGTACTTGTGGAAGCGGTCGTAGGGGTAGTAGACCCAGTGTCTACGTCTGTACTATTTGGGTCATCAGGGGTCCTAGGATTATGGGCGCATGACGATCATGCGTTTGCATTGTCCTTGCCATGTCCGACTGCAGGGACAAAGAAGAATAGGTGGAGGTGAGTTGGTACGCACTACAAATGGACCCACTTCATAAAGGAGACAACTCGTCTCCGTCCAGGCGAACGGCCGGCCTCACGAGGAGAAACGGACAAAGCCGAGTGTTGAGCCAGATTTGAAAAATAAATAACTAAAAGAAAAATAATAATGCAAGTAAAGAAGAAGGGAAAGAAAGCAGGCGGCCTACCTCTGTACGTGTAGAAAACTCGAAGGGTTCTAGAGAAGTCTTGAAAGTTGACTGGAAAACTCAAATACACAGCGTAGCTCTTGAAGATTCAAAGGAAATCACTTTCTCTCTCTAAAAAGCTCTGATCTCTCTCTAAAATTCGCAAAGTTCCAAAGTGCAAAAGTGAGGTTAAACCCTGTGTATATGTAGGCAAAATTTATGGGGGCATATTAGTAAATTCATCTTTTCCGCCTTCAAAATTCAAACGGTTATAATTTGAAAATTTAACCTAGAATTCAAAAGGGTGAAAAGACAGTTTTGTTAAGTTAAACAGAGAAAGAGACTGACGGATAACGGCGCATCCAAATAGACTGTCAAAGTAAACGGGATTAAGGTCTCCATCCTAAAATCTAGGCGTCCGATATCTCTCCTAAAAAATATCAGGCGGCATGCTTCGTCCGCCTAACTCTCAGACATAAGCGTCCTCTAGAGGAGTATCAGGCGGACAAAGATAATTAGCCACCCAGGACGACCAACTTAGGGGGGGGGGGAAGATCTGTGCGCCTCCTCAGCAACATGCCCAATCTCCATGTACTCGTACGCCTCAAGACAAGCGAAAGATCAGAGGAGGCGGCCGTTAGCGTATGAGCCACCCCCTTTGAGGGGCAAATGTTTAGGGTAAAAATTCCCCATATACGTGGTCCAATCCCGTAGCGACACGTGGCCCAACCAAAGGGCAACACGTGTCGCTATGGGAAGATGACGTGTGTCAAAGGCTCAAAATAGCCCCTGAAATCAGCATTAAAAATGGCCTTATTACATCATGGCCCTTTTCCTTAGAGATACCCTTGAAAGCCGCAAAACGACGCCCCCGTATTACACGTGGCACCGCCTGATTGCACAGCCAATCACGTCACAAAATTTTAGGGTTTATAGAATTTTAGGGTATAAACCCTAAAGGGGCACAAACTCCCACCCTTATAAATACCCCAATCATTTATGATGGGAGGGGTGGATTAAGACATTACAGAAAAAGAGCATTAAATAGCTCCAACTTCTCTCTACTTTCTCTCTTTAGCCTTTTCCGTTCAGACCTCTAACGTGATCGTCGGAGGCAAATATTCCGGTAAAGGAATATTCGTTTATTTTGCAGGTGTCCGAGAGCGCGACCAGTATCTGAGAAAATCCAAAAAATACCCGAAACATTTCCCATGCTGAACTTTCCTGATTTATAAATGCTTAGTATGCTCTGCTCTTTTATGTTCCCCTCATAATGCATAAACTACAAAAGGGCGACACGTGATAATGTTTTGCAGTGTATATCAGCCTCATATCTGAATCTGTGAGAGTCATTGAATTTTTATACATAATATTATTTTTGTTATTATTGGAGGTTTAAAATTTCAGATATTATTAAATAAAGTGAGTATACTTTTATAATAGAATTATATGATTCTCAAGTCTAAAAGTATTGCTTCATTAGTTGACAAAATTCCTTGAAACGATGTAAGATGATGAGTTTGTGTTTGTTAATAGGAATGTGTAACTTTTAAAATAAGACTGGATAAGGCATGATAATTATTTAAAATACAAATGAAAAGGGGTAGTGGAACACATAGCTTCATGGTATGTGAATTGTCCTGTTCTAAATTATTAGCATGGAGTGCAATTAGTTTTGATTTTATACCTTAAGTATGACACTAGCTATTTGTTTAGCGCTGGAGATTTGAGTAAAAAATTCATGAAGTATGCATAAACAAATATTCATGCAAATGTAATGATTCTTTAAGACAGATTTTAGGAGTTCTCCTAGCTACCAGTACTTACCATAAGTTTGAGTATAAAATTTGTTTGCGGGTTGATAAACTACATTATCCATATTTTTTAATGATTTTAAAAGAATGCTTCCTCTGTCTCCTAATACTATACTTGTCTTGACCTTTTACACTACCTATATAGTCGACCCTTTGTTCTATCTAAATCTACCTTGCTCTTTTTTTTCTTTTTTAATTATTGTAATGTTGTTCAATTCACTTATTGTTGATACGTAGTTTAAGAAAGCTTTGGAAAAGATGAGTGTATGTTTAATATAAGTAAGAGAAAATGTAAAAAGGATGGTAGGTGTAAGGTAGATCAAGAGAGGGTCTGTGGATTGGTGTAATACTCCCCCCTGTGCCTTTTCGTATGATTTTTCTATGACTTCTTGTGAATGCCATGGGAATAGTTTTTCAGAGAAACAATTATCTTTATATAATGATTGAATTTTTAAAGCTTTCTTTAGTTTTGAAGTTTGCATGTAGCCAGGTAGGAACTTAGAATCTGATTTAACATCAATTGAGTATAAGTGATTGTATAAGGATAGCAATCTGTAACTACTGTAACACTGAATTCAGCAATTCACTCCTGAATCTGGTGTCCCAAAGATTAAGCTTGAAGAAAAACACACAAATTATTTCAATAATATCCAACTTGCTTGGTTGGACATGTAGCTTTATGTATTGACTGAATCAGTGTGTTTCCCTAAACCAATGAAAAAAAAACTACCCAAAGAGGGTATTACACACCTATTCTGTCAATATAACTGATTAGGGCTCTAAACAGATTGGCTAGATCAATTAAGAACCAAACACCCTTTATGCTAACACAACCTAAAACCTCTCATGATCCATTAAACAAAGTAATAATCGACTACTGAAATCAACTAAGTTATATAGCCCATGTATAAATCCACCCTAATAGTGTTGGTGAAAACAAATTGGTAGCGAATACAAAAATAAATTGTACTCCATATGCTGTAACAAGCCCAACAAAGAATCTTCAATCCAAGTGATGCAATATACAAACACAAACATGCCTAGTGAGCCCAAGGACTCCAAACAAAAATCCAAGGCATCTGAAATGATGTTCATGGGTTCATATCTTTTGCACTACTGATTAGGGCTCTAAACAGAGGCTTAGATTAATTGAGAACCAAACAGCCCATTATGCTAACACAATCTGGAACCTTGCATGACCCATTAAGCAAAGAAATAATCTACTGAAATTAAACTAGCTATTTACCAATCTCAAAAATCACCAAGATCTATGAAATAGGGGTTCTTAATCAAAGCCAATACCAAGTAAAGCCAGGATTTAGGTGTAAGTTACAAAGAAGCAATCACAAAGATAGTAAATAATCACCAAGACTAAGGAGAGAAAATCTCATTGATTTCAAAATTAAGCAAAATTTCATCTTGATTTTGATCACAACCTTATGTTAAAACACTGTTTTCAAGTATGCTCTTCTTAAGAATATTACTCATTTTTTTATTTTTACTACATGTTTCTCCTATAAGGCTATATGCATTTGTTTGGCTTCATTGCATACGATTGTCATGTACAATGCTTTGGTGGTTAATTTGATATCCCCTATAGACTAGTAGGTAGAAAATGAATTCTACATGCCAGCTACCTGTAATATTAATTCTTGTAACCGTCTTTAGGTTCTACCAAATCTTTCATCCCAAACATTGCACGCGCTACTGACCTCAAATGAACTTTGGGTACCTAGTGAAGAGAAACGGTAAAGTACTGTTCTCATATCTTTGGCCTCTATGAGAATTTGAATCTTTCTCATGCAGGATGACATTGTTTACTTTCCTTTTTGAAGCTTTGAATTGGCATTATATACATTGGTTAAAAAAAGTGCTCTCAACAAGGGTGAATCCCATGAAAAGCAGAGTACAAGCCTGGAAACAGGGATCTCAAATCAACATGACTTGTCTCAATTCAAAGGAAAGAACATTATTGATGCTTGCTGTAATAGAAATTCAGAAGCTGATACGGTACGTGTGAATTCTTACTTGCTCTTTACAGCTATAAATTCTGCTTGCATTATCTGATCGAGCTTGCAGATTTTGTTATTAACTTCCACAATAATATTGTTGATGACAAACAACAGGTACTTCAAGTTGCTTGCAGTGAGCCAAATTCAGGAGCTGAATATCCTAACAACTTCGAACAACCTTCCCTTGCTACCAACTACTCTGATTCAGATAGAAATAGGCCCTCTTCTTCTTACGTCAGAATGCCAGTTAATTTTGCTGCCAGTGGACAGGGAAGTGAAGCTGCACTAGTAGAAGGACCATCCGAAGAAAGCATATGCTGCCATTTTAGTAGTTCTAATTGGTTGTCTGGAAATGATTCAAGGGATTGCTCTTCATCATCAATAAACTCTTCCTGCAACGATATCGTGCCTGATGAATGGAGCAGAAATGAGTTGGCTTATTTATGGGGTGGAAGGACTGTTGGAAGAAGGCAGGTGAAGAGTTACGGTAAAGGGAACTGTGGGTTGAGAGGAGAAGAGTATGATACATTCATTAACATTTTTGAAGAAGGTTCAGTTTTGTACTGCAATATGTCTTTTGAGGCTCTTTTAGATATGAGAAAACAGCTTGAAGAGTTAGGTTTCCCTTGCAAGGCAGTGAATGACGGTCTTTGGCTGCAGGTTTGAAGCTTGTATCTTATTCTCACTTCCCTGAAGTTGGGGGATATTCATGCAGATTTATTTTCAAATAGTATATGTATTTGTATGCTTTTTTTTCTATCTAGGTAAGATATGGGACCCTAATTGAATGCTTTTTCAACTTCGATTGGGATAGTGTAAAAGGATAGTTGAGATTGGGACAATGGGCCAAACTTAAGCTACTTCCAACTATTAGGCTAGATATCGAACCCTGACCTCAAATATTGAATGTGCACTAGAGTTCTTTAGATTCTTATGCAAGCTATGTCACTAAATGTAATGCGAGCACTGATTCTGAATGTAAGGGGGGTGGGGACATGGAAATGGAATGGCTCTAAAGTTCTAAACTGCTACGGTGCTACCAGCAAACTAGTCAAATCTAAGGCTGTTGTAGTGAACCCAAAAACCTTTAAGATTGTTTAAGGATCTACAACCACTAGAGTGATTCTAGTTTCTTATTATTCCTTAGAATGCAATTTGTGAAAGCAAGGATGGTTTCTGGAAGTCAGTATTTAGCTTATAAACTAACTGTTGAGGAACAGCATCATAATTTTGTTCATCTGATTACTTTTTTGTTTTGTTGGATGCCGACTGTTTTTCGGAGATGGACTTTATTAATCCTTCTTAATTATTCGTATTTTTGACTCGTAGTTATTTTTCTAATCCCATCCAGACACTTTTAACTCATCCAGTCCAATACTGTTTGAATAATTAGACATAAGTTCACACCTGGTCCAGTCCAATTCCTTTATAATTTGTATTTTTATCTTGCCTTATGCCCAATAAGTCTCATTTTGTCCCTATTATAGAAAAAAAATGTATAGACATTAGCCTAGATAAAGAACCAAAGAGAGACTAGGAGAGGAAATAAGACTGCAAAGATAAGTAGCTAAGAATCAATTTTTATTTAAGCATTTTCCTGAACTTTTATTTTCCTTGGACAACATTTTCTGTATATTGATTTCATACTCTGTTCTATTGTTTAATACTTTTCTCTTTACAGGGGATGAGGGTAAGATTGTTTTCTTGTGATTCCATTACATTAGTCTGCTTCTCTGTTTCTTTTCTAGATGCTTCTCAGTCAGAGGGTTCAAGAAATTGCTGCTGAAACATGCAAAAATTGCTGCCTTTTAGGCATGGCATGTGCATGCAAACAGCCATTTAACTTTTCCCATGGTACTGGAACCACAAACTACTATGTCCAAGCTTCTGATCAGAATAATAATTCACCAGGCAATATTGGTGATTTGTATGTTGCGGGTCCTGCTAATGGTGAAGGAAATGGTTTGTTTAGACCCGTGAGAGTAAATGTTAGGGGTTCAAATGATGGACTTGCTGGTATCGGGCGTGGAGCTACACTGGTCCCTGCTTCCACTTGGTGTCCAACTCGTTTTGTATTTTCCCGTGTTCCGTTTGGTGTGGGTAACAGGAATGGTCAGCAATCTCTTGCTAATGATGATCTGGAATTGAGACCTGACCAACATGGTGACATGTCTGGAGATGGACTTACTGCCTTGGTTGGACTGAGTGACGGAGGAAGAAATATTAATAATCAAGGGTGGCAGACAGAGAGTGCTTTTGATATAGCTCTAAGAAATAGTTTCATTGAGACCTCTGCTGCTGGGCCAAGTGGCAGTGGTACTCAGATGGGAGAGTCTTCAGACCAAAATATTGACGGCCAGTGTGAGAACACAAGCAATGCATCTATATCCTTAGATATGAAGACACCTCTAAGTCACTTCCCACCATTTCGATTTGGGTTGGTTTTCTCTTCCCCCCCCCCCCCCCTCCTTCTCTTTTACTCTGTATCCTATTGTAGCATAGGCTGTGTTACTCGGACAGGGAAAAAATGCTGCCATACCCTAAGCTATTTGCCCCTCATGGTCTTTGCTTAAAAGGAATGAACAATTGCACTCAAAACATGTTCTTTGTTGTTTTCTTGACTGCTGAGCTGCTGCTTTGATACCTTTATTTATTCTTGGGTTCATGTATAGAGCTTCCTATACTTTGAAGCTACCTGTCATGGATGTCTTACTGCTTTTTAGACACAACTAAGGTTTTGAGGTCACTTAATGATATTTGCCCTCGTGTCATAGTTAAATCATGTAAGAACACATGGTTCATTTTTTGGGGTGTAATAGTCATGGTCATATATTAGTATGGCATGTCCAATGACTGCATATGAAGAGTATACATTACTGATTTGTTATTTTTTGGTCTTTTTATTCAATCAACTATTCATACTTCTATATTTTCTTGTTAATTGGAATGTTAATTTTAACAGGGTAGAATTTGCTGATGTGCACCGACTTAATGATGGTCAGGTTAAACACTCTCCTGAAGCATTTTATGCTGGTTCATTTTGGAAAGTATGATTTCAATTTTCTTTTCCTTTATGTTCTTGAATGTGTATTATTAGAGCATAAACTGAAGAAAAGCCTACTCATTTTCCAGAATTGATATTTTTAAACTCATTCAGTCTGTTGCATCTGACAGATAAGTGTTCAAGCTTTTAATGATGAAGACCCTCAAGGGCGTAGGACACTCGGTAATTCTTCATAGAGCAGTTACTATTTTATGCAAATAATTGTTATAAAATCATGAATGACTGGAAAACAAAGGGAAATTATTTTGAATAAAATATTCCTTTTGAAATGTATGTTTTATTAATTTGGATTTAGTAGTGAGTACATTGTAAGTTTAAATTACACAATAATAGCTACTCTTATTTCATTCGCTCTTGATTTATGCTTTATATTGTCAGGCTTATTTATTCATCGCCGGAAGGCTGAAATAATGGATCCTCAAAGGAAGGTCAGCTTAATTCATTTACCATTTTTTGTTTATATAAATTTGCACTTGTGTTGATGTTCTTTAAAAAATCTGCATTTTTGTTGTGCTTTCAAATTTTCATCTTTGTGGATTATTAAGCCTCTGTAAATGCTATATCCACCTACATGCACCATAATTCTTGGATCTTGCTTTTTGTTTCCTTCAAAGATGTGGTCTATATTTCGAGGGGTAAATTCTGTGAGCAAAATGTTGAATTACAACTGCAAATATTTTTGAAAACTCAGTTTTCTTGAATAGTCATATAGTGTAATTGGTTTAAATTTTCCCGGAAAAGGGGCGGGGGAAGACAGCTAAGATGGGGCTTCCTAGGAAATGAGGGTGTGGGAATTTAATTTTGAGAGCAGTATATATCAATGAAACTGTCCATGTAGATCAAATTTGTGAATTGCTGGGCTTTTACTTGATAAAAGCAACCTTGATTTTCCACCTTGTTTGTCATTTGGGATTTTCTGTTTGACTGTGTGAACTATGAATTTATTATTAAATGTATATTAGTAGTTCATAAAGTGCAAGATAGAGAATTGATTAGGTTTCTATCTCTATTTACAGCCATTGTATATTGAATACGTAGTACATAAGCATTCTTCCCTCTTTTTAATTTTTCTTAACTGAATTTATCATGGTTTATTTGAACTTGGTTGCCCGTATTTATATTTATCACGCAACTAATCTGAACTTATTTGTCTGAAACTTTTCTGTGCTAGGTAGTAAAGAACAAAGCTTTATATTATGTAATTATGTGATGACACTTTCCTTTTATGTTAATTCAGGTGCATATGTATGTGGACTCTCGTGAAAAAGTTACAGCTCGCTATCAGGTAGATTGGATATCAGACCACAATGACAATCATCATGTTGCTCTTATTTCATATGTAAATTTTATGAGACTTATTCGTTGATTTGATTTTAGTTGATCTGTCCATCAAAGCGAGAAGTTATGGTGTTTGGAAGCTTCAAGCAAGCAGGTACTCTTTTACCAAAAGCCCCAAAAGGCTGGGGCTGGCGCAGTGCTATACTCTTTGATGAGCTTCTCGATCTTCTCCAAAACGGGTGCTTCAGGGTTTCTGCCGTTGTACAGCTTGTATAGATTTGACAATGTGGCAGTCCCATTCCGTGTCTTGATTTTCCTTTTGTCATTAATATAATTATGTATCATCTAACATCCGCAAGGATGACTTAGGTGGTCTTATCAAAAGGATTAGCCTAATTTTCTTTCTTATAAGAGAGAAAATGGAGAAAATAAATGTTATTGCTTACTACATATTTTCTTCCTTATAAGAAGTACATTTCATGAATACATAATACACAAATACACGAGCTCTCAAAAAAAAAAAAAAAAAAAAAAAAAAAAAAAAAACTTCTTGCTGATTGGAGTTGAATTGAACAGAATCTTTAATAAAATAAGGATATTAGAAATTGAACTGAAATGAAAATAAGTTGAAGAAAACAGGCTTTTATTTATGTTTTCTCTCCTCTCATCACATGAATCTCTTTCTTTATTCCTCTCTATTTATCTCTTCTTCTTACAATTCGTATCCCATCTCCATGTTGCAATATTTGGGAAATGAAGGACGTATGATAACAGTATATAATCCCATGCTTTGAAATTTTTTATTGTGAAATAACCTAAGCATGGATATTTAGTCTTACCAGAGTTAATAATCTTAATATTGAGTATTGACCCAATAAATCAAATTATACAGAGACAGAGAGATTGGAGAAGTTGTTATGATACATTTAAGCTTAAATGATTTAGTTTATGATTTCTTGCAGTGCAATTAATAAAACAGTTACATAAAAAATTTCATAGGAAATTGCTAAATTGATATCTATTATAGTAACATCTTTATAATCCTATGTGAAAATGAATCATTTATTCTGAAACATACAACAAAAACTAAAACTAAAATAGAGAAGGGAAGCTAAGAAGTTTCTAGAATCTGCTCGTGGATGTTGGGCCCGTATTATCATACGACCCATTACATCTAGGGCATCAATCCAAGGGCAATAAGTCAGCAAGAATACGCAAAATAGCTTGATTGAAGTAAACAAGGAAAGCAACATCATACATATCGATCAAGGAGATACTTGCCAAAGATACATCTACAGAACAGGGAAGAAGATAAATCAAGAAGATCTTTCCCATTTCAAATATATTCTGAAGATATTTGTAAACCCTAGAGATCCCTAGGTATAAATAAGCATAGTTAGACATTTTTAGCATACATGTACATTCGCATATACATAAATATAAACAATTTGCTCTACTTTATCTACGGAGCTGCATCCCTACTGAAGAAGGAGGCGTGTCCTTATTCAGTATTGTGTCTCTGAACTCACCTTCTTTATATCATTGAATGCTTATTGCTTACTTGTTGCTTATTTATTGCTTTATTAATTGTTCTTAGTTGATTTATATGTTTTTGGTAGTATGATTGTTATTACCCCTCAAACCTAGCAGATTCTCGTATGTCCTTAATGAAATTTGCCTAAACAATTTGGCGCCCACCGTGGGGCTAATAATCAATTAACCTACCAATTCGCCAAAAAACCAAGACAAACACCATGACTGCGCAACCAGTACCTTTTACCATTGCCGAAATTAATGAAGGAATGAATGCATTTCGCCAAACTTTAGACCAGCAGAAAAGCCAAATTGAAACGCTGCTGGCTCAAAAGATCCAAACTGAAGCCAAACTCACCAGCCTTACCAAACAAAATGAAGCCCTTCGTAGCCAAATACAATCAGTTGCATCTAAAACCATTAACACTAGAAAGAACACCGAAGGCATAGCCATGCAGCTTGACTTGTCAGGAACCTTTCACACCCCTAACGGGAAAAAGGTTCTAACAACAGGGATGATACCCTGGATCTAGACTCTTTGGATGCAGGAACCCCCAAGAAGGACAGTCAGGAAAGAGCCGAAGAGGGAAAAGTAGAAAAGATGGTCAAGGAATACCTCAAGACAATCGAGGCCAAAATAGCTAAAATCCCTGGAATGCCGAAACCCATGGAAGAGGAAGCAGCAGATGGCTATATAGAATCCCCATTCTCAGAAGAGATCGCCATGGTAGAAGTCCCAAAGAGGTTCAGCACGCCCAATATGACCATGTACGATGGAACAACAGACCGTGATGAGCACGTATCCCTCTACAAACAGAAGATGATGACAAGCTCAATCCCTAGAGACATCAGAGAGGCTATCATGTGCAAAGGCTTTGGAGCCACATTATCAGGTCCAGCTCTGACCTGGTTCATTAATTTAGATAATGGGACTATTTGATATTTTGCAGGAATGGTGAACCTATTCAAGGTCCAATTTGCCAGCAGCAGGAAAATCGAAAAAACAATCTTCAGATCTGTACCGCGTTGTGCAGAGACATGGTGAATTGATGTGTCTATTTTATACAGTATTTTACCCCCGTCCCTTGGTCATAATTAGTAGTGTTTTTGGCTCTTTAGAGCCACTTTTATTACTAATTGGTGTTTTCTAGTGTTTTCGTAGATTTGGTTGACTTTTGCAGGGATTTATGCTTTTGGAGTATTTTCCCGAGATATTTTGGAGCAATCACGAACATTGGAGAAGCACGACCAGATTCTAAAGCCCAGGGCCTGTTAGAGCCATCGAACCGGTGATTAAGGGCTCGGTATAGGTGATACCGGGGCATTTGGACCAAGTATTCAAGACCGGAAGAGGAAACCTAGATTGGCCCGAAGAATTGGAGCCCAATCGTAGTCCAAATAGTGGCCCAAATGAGCCGCCCGGCCAAAGAGGCTGGCGCCCGGAGGCGCGCCTGGCCGGGCGGGAGAAGCTTAGGCTGGCGCCCGGTGACGCGCCCGGCCGGGCGCGAGATTATTATTATGAGCAAAAAAAGGCGCGCCCGATCGGGCGGTACCTCGCTCGATCGGGCGCGTGTATTTATTAGTGGACGCTTAACGTCATTTTAATTTGTTTTAGTTTAGGACTTTTGTACGGAGTATAAATACTCCTCCGTAATACGATTTTAGGATCACTTCTTCTTCTTTTTACACTCTCTTTACTCTCTTAATTGTTCTCTTAGATTTCTTTCTCTAAAAACCTTTGTTCTTAATCTACTCTTAATTCCAGATTTATTTTGGTAACGATTTCTCTTCCCTTAATCTTAGTTGTTTATTTTATTCCTTTCATCATGATTTTTTTTGTTGCTTTGATTATTTTAGTTTTTAATATGTGTGAGTAGTTTTATTTCTAGGGTTTATGAGGATCCATAAATAATATGAAGGGGTAATTTGTTGTTGTTAATTATCAATGCTAGATTAATTTCCTATTGATTGATTTAATGCTATGTGACTAGATTAGGCCTAATCTTTTATGCATGAGTTTGACAATATTGATTCGAGATTCGACAGATGAGAATTGATGTTTAGGTCTAGTTTCAATAGGTACGTTAATTTATAAATGGTTAAGTCGAGATTCGAGAGATGAGATTTAATACCGGTAAATTAATTGTGTGATTGTAATACGTAGCGAAAGCCCTTTACAATCTGGTTAATTGATGCATTGATGATTGACTATTATTGATTATTGATATTGCATGATAATTTCTTATTGAATTGTTTTAACGTTTTACAATTGCGGCTTGTAAAAGTATAGCAATATTGAATTAATGAATCGAGCAGATGTTAATTTGATATTAAAGGCTATTTTCAAGAAGAACTTAGATCTAGTAAATTGCGAGAGCCTGTTAGATCTATATTGATTAATAAATTGCGAGAGCCTGTTAATCATGTTATTTGTGCAATGTCAATGATTGATTACTATGTTTTACCCTGGAGTATTATTTATTGGTGAACCTATGCCCTAAATCCTTGATTATTTTTTTCCTATTCTCAATCTTAGTAGTTTAGTTTCATATTTAAATATAAATATTGGTTACTTCATAATCTAGATTATATTAATTAATTAGGAATAGAAAGACTTGTTTCCCTGTGGAGATCGACCCTACTTCCCTATCTACATTAGTTAGAGGATTTAGGTATTACTTTTGATTAGGGGATACGACTTTACCCTGTCATGAATCCTTGAGAGATTATCTTAACAGGTTCAACAGGGAGAAGATTGGAATACATAAGTGTGATGCCCCCACAACAAACGAAGCGTTCAGAAGAGGATTGCTGGACCATAGTGAGCTCTACAAGGAGTTGACTAAATATCCCTGTACAACCTTTGAAGATGTGCAAGCCAAAGCCATGGCTCAAGTCAGATTTGAGGAAGATGCATATGCAAGAAAGACTCCCGAGCCAGATCGCCAGTCAAGAAGGAACAACAATTTTCCCAGAAGGGACCATCGATTCAAGCCATATTAGCGTTCTCGCTTTGATGAGGGATCAGTCAATGCTGTCGAAGGAGAATTTTCTGATTGGAGGGAAGATCCTGAACTCCCACCTAAGCTACATGAGTACTGCTTCAATGTTAATCCTGCAGGAGTAATAAGGACCCTGATTAAGATGAGAGATACTGTGCAATGGCCCACAAGAAGTGATAGGCCTGGAGAGAAAAAAGATCCATCCAGATGGTGTGATTTCCATTCAGATATCGGTCACACTACTGATGAGTGTGTCGCGCTCAGAAAGGAAGTCGCATACTTGCTGAAGAAAGGCTACCTTAAAGAGCTCCTGTCAGATAGATTTAAAGCTTCAGGGAAGGAGAGAGAGTCTAAGCAAGGAGGTCCTCCTCCTCCGCCTCCGATTGTCAAAACCATCTGTTTCATATCAGGCGGGTCAAAAGTATGCGGTTTAACATATTCGGCAGCAAAGCGACATGCAAAGGAAAGTAACAAGGATCAACCAGACAAGAAGGATAAATCCAAGATAAAACATCCCCATCATGTTTGAAGAAAGCGATGCGGTAGAAGGCCATCATGACGGCCTAGTGATTTCACTCCCAGTGGGAAACTACATGATTAAGCGAATCCTAGTTGACAATGGGAGCTCTGCAAATATCATCATGCTTGACACCCTAAAACATATGAACATAGATGAGAAGAACATCATCAACAAGTCAACAATGTTAGTGGGATTCAGTGGGGAAACCAAAAAGACAAGTGGAGAGATTACATTGGCAACATACGCAAAAGGGATCAACCTACAGGTCAAGTTCCTAGTGATTGATACTCTATCTTCGTACAATATGATTCTAGGCAGACCTTGGATACATGAGATGAAAGCCATCCCTTCTACGTACCATCAAGTCATTAAGTTCCCTACTAGGTGGGGTATCCAAGAAATCAGAGGAGATCCTAGGGAAGCTAAAGA